CTTCCCTGAATTGAGCCAAACCTGAATTGAGTCAGCACACTTGTAATTAGCCTCTTCACTGCCAAGGATTTCAGGCCTAGACAGTCTCTTTAGGTTTTAACTTTGGATTACCCCCATTACAGACCGCAGCCACCCTACAACTACACAAATCCATGAAAGTGGGTTAAACTGTCTCTGTCTTATGTTATTGGAGGTCTCTGACACTATTACACAGCTGCTGAGTTCTGTCTAAAGCACTGTACAGTAGTTGCTCTGTTAGAGCAGAGTAAAACTACAATGTACATCTACCTAGCTCTAGTGCTAGCATGTGTGCTTCTCTTCACCAAGAGAAATATTTGCACATGGGTTTTTGTGAATTAAATGCCTATAGGCATTTAACACTCATACAGACTATACATTACTGTGTGCTTGCACTGGACTTTAACTCTGCTTGAATGTGAAATCTGGACTGTGTGGGTGGTCACATTATTCTATGCTTGTTTTTTTTCCTCAGCATGTTAGACCCGGCTGTGTCTGTGGCCAACGGGAGTGGGCTGGTGTCTGCACGACTGTGGATTGAAATAAACACGATGGATAAAGCCATAAAAGCGCTGTTTGTTCCCTTTGTTACAACAGGCTGAGGGCTGAAACAAAGCGTGTTTTATCAATGTCAAAGGTGCGATGAAACATGACTAACACAGGAGGCAAACGGTATTAAGTCTTCCATCTGCCAGCCCAGCTCCAGAGCAGACCGGTTCAATAGTAAGAGAACTGAGTCACATGTAAATCTATCAATCTAGCAAACTAATGAGTCCAGCGAGCCGTGGTTTGGTTAAAAAACAAAACAAACTAAACTAAACATTGTCAAAGAAGCTTGCAAAGAAAAGCGTCTGGACTTCTTTAAGTTACTTGAAGACGTTTCACCTCTCATCCGAGAAGCTTCTTCAGTTCTAAGGTCAAATGGTGGAGAGTCCCAGATTTAAACCTAGTGGGAGTATCCCCCCACAGAGGGACAAAAGGACCCCCTGATGATCCTCTAATCGCCTGAGTCAAGGTGTGAAACTGGGTGTGGGTCCCAATCAGCCAGAGTTTCAGGTGAGTTCATAGTGAAACCTGGCCCCACCTTATCATGCGAATTCGCAGGAATTCATGCAAATTCCTGCAAATAAGGTGGGGCCAGGTTTCACAGGAATTCGCAGGAATTCGCAGGAATATGCAAAACCTGGCCCCACCTTATCATGCGAATTCGCAGTTTCACACCTTGACTCAGGCGATTAGAGGATCATCAGGGGGTCCTTTTGTCCCTCTGTGGGGGGATACTCCCACTAGGTTTATATCTGGGACTCTCCACCATTTGACCTTAGAACTGAAGAAGCTTCTCGGATGAAAGGTGAAACGTCTTCAAGTAACTTAAAGAAGTCCAGACGCTTTTCTTTGCAAGCTCCTTTGACTACGATGACCTGGATGACTGAGAACCTTCACAGACATAAACTAAACATTGTTTTCTCACCTGCAGCCTCACACAGCCAGCGGAAAAAAATGATAGCAATGCGCTGCATTTAGACACGTGGCTCAGGATCTGACTGTAAATGTTTTGTGTTCTTCTACACATAGGACACGCTGGCGGTTACACACACATGTCAGGTTTATACGGTTGAATAATTTAGAATAATGTGACTCTACTTTGGATAAATCCTGAGCTCCAGCTGAGTCTCAGTCCTCCTCAAACAGATGAATTCACCTTTATCTTCAGCCTCCTCTCCTTTATCTTAACTGCCACACCTTTTTCAGAGATAAACACATATAAAACATGCACTTAGACTGTGTCATTTTTGTCAGGACATCACTGCATTCTGGCAGTACCACACCTCTTCTGTGCAGTGTGTCACTGAGCCCATGAAAGCTCGTAAGGTTACTGTTATGATTAGCTGGTCAGGTAAAGGAAATTCCTGACAGCTTGGGTAACCTTGATTGGCTCATCATAACATTTCAGGTGTTATTAACCTATGATATTTACCTTTGATGTTTTACATATCTCAAAATATTATGCTTTCATCAGTCATCACTGTAAAGGGTAAATGGACTGATTATTTTCTACTCAAAGCAATTTTGAAAGGAAAATACTTCCCACTCAACAGGTCAAGGAATATCTTGTCGCATTTTTTTAATTTGTAGCCTTGCTAGCAAAATATTTTTTACAAGGGCGACCGGTCTGGACTGCTGGAAGTTCAGTTTAACATTCAGACTATTCCTAAGAAGCAGTTGCATTATGTGCAGAATGTGGTTTGACATTGAGCTGTTAAACTAAGAAAGACTTTCAACGAAGAAAGTGTGGTTTGCTCCAAAACATAAATGGTGTGTGGAGTGTGACAGATGTGCAAGATACCCATGTTATACTGGAGATACTGGTCCATCATAAACGAGCTTGGGCCAAGAAAAGGGCAGCAGCATTTCTGAATCTTATTTATATGCTTTCATCTTTATCCTACTTTCTTTTTGTATATAACATATATAATGTTTGTATTTAGAAATGATTGTAAGCTTTGGGTTTTTTTCCCCTTTTAAACAGCATATTAGCTTGTTGCAGATACATTTGTATCCTTTACTCTCTACCTTCCCATCACCTGTGAGATTTCCTTTATTCTAACGTGGCATATACCCCTCTAGTATTAATCCAGAAGTTTCATATATCAAGTCAAACTTCTGCTTTCATTTCTGCATTCTGACACAGAAGTTATTACTAACATTAAAAACGGGAACAAATCAAAAGTCAAATAAACAAAAACATGGCTGCACTTCCAAACTGGCACTACTTAACTAAACATTTTGAAAGTTCTGACCACTTCTGGCAGCTGCATTTGCTGTGTATAATATAAGATATTTGCATTGCTGCTCATTGCTTTCATTTTAAAGTTGAAAACTGTTCCAATAAAAGAGATCAACACATTGTTATGCATAAAGAAAATCATGTCCCTGTGATTGTGGGGTCTTTAACTCACAATATAAAGCACCTGGAGACAGTGAACATAGCTTGTTCTATTACATATGCAAATAATTTCAAAATGACTGATTAAATGTTTGCCTGTGTTGACTTTTGTGTTTTTTTAAAAAAAACAATCCACATTAAAGCTTATGTTATAGGCTATAGAGGTTTTAACCATATACAGCTAAGATCTCTTATGTCAAGCCACAGAAGCTGAAACAAAATGTCTCCAGCTGGGGAAAGCACACTAAGCTGCCAGTCTGTCTAACATGTGTTAGTGTGCATGCAACAGGGAGGTGTAGGAAAGAAAGCCGAAGAGGAAAGGCTCAAGCAGGCTTACCGGGGAAAGTTTCTGAATGAGGTCATGGGCCACATGCACCAAATTCTTGTCTTCCTGCATGTGCTTCTGGAACCGCCGATTTTCCTCTTCCTCCAGTAGGTCAAAGTCATTGGCTGCATCGAGCAAGGCCTGGATGAGGCCCTTCCAGGAGCGGAGAGCAGGGACCTGAGGAGCCACTGCGGAGCTTACCCCCGTACCAATCACCAGGACAAGCTCGGGGGCTCGCTTAGTCTTCAGACTGGGCAGCAGTTTCCTTTGGGGTAGGCAGAGATTGAGTGACGATGGTTCCCAAATCCTTCCGACAGCATGAAGGTTAAACAAACTATTTTCAAGCCCGCTAACATGCAGTCGGACACTAAACCCTACCTTTTATGTAGGGCCCACAAAAATTAGGAACTCAAAAAAAGAAAAAAAAAGATTTTAATCAGCCCTGTTGATGAATTAGTTATAGTCATAGCGTGCAGCTGGCTCTAAAGCAGCATCTGAGCTTACCTGGGCTTTTTAGCATTGGAGTCTGCATCCTGAGAATCCACTGCAGGCCGCTTCTCAGTTTTCACTGCTACAACAGAGGCCATTCAGCTCCTGTAATGAAAACATGATCAATTAAGAGCCTCTGTGCAGTATGTTTAGGGAGTGACTAGTTAACCAAGCAAAACACAACAAAACAAGTCTGGGCCCTAAATGGGAGTGGTGTGTGAAGCTTTCCGAAGAATCTAATTACACCGAATCCTACCAGAGCAGTAGAAAATACCTGTCAAAAAAAGGGAGGAGGTATGTCAATCAATGTAGCCTGCCTGCCTGTAAATTACTTATTCATTTCCTCCTGCAAGCACACCTTACCTCAAACCTTCAGTAAAGCTACTGTACCTGGAAAGTAGGAGTATGACATAAGCTAGTCATTAACTAGATAACAACAACATGTAACTTGTTCTCTTTTTATAACTCCAGCTTTAATTCAAAGCTCCACCAGTTCAATATCAAACCATGAGTAATTAGTAGTAATTACTAATTAACCTATGGCAGTTCGTCATGGCAACATTAATTTCTGAAGACACAACTTCGGTGACATTACATACAATCGATTACGTGTTACGGCGTCATTTAACAGCTAATGCTACGGTACATTGTTCAGTATTGATAGCTTACTCACCTTGGTACCGGTATGGTAATGCCCACTGTTTACTTCGGTTAAAGTGGAAATCCTCTTAATGCGAACCAGGCGAAAGTCAGTCCTTTGTAAAGTGAAATAGCTCGGGAAACTGATCTGAATTCGAAGCTTTTAGGTTTTCAGTGGTGTTTAAGCCAACCCGGTAAAGTTACAGTATAGACAGTGTCTTTTACTAAACAACCTAAAAATGTAACGAACTGGCGACGTCAGTTAGCTACAGTTAAAACGTTAACTTCCTTGATGTTCTGAGCCGAGTTACCTTCTAGGTGTTTTTAAAATCCCGATTTAGCCTCCTGTTTACTTGTCATGATGATTGTAGAGCATTTAGATCCGCTATCCGATATAAACCAGTCCTTCTAGATAAAACTTATGTCGCTTAGTTTCTTCGGAGCAGCGCAAACAGCACAAACGTTACCGGCTCACAGCGCTTTTCTACACATTGTCACTCTCTTAACTTCAGCGGTACCGTTGAAGTCGCCGCCTGCTGAGAAGTGCACCGGGTCATATGATGCCTTCATGTGCTGAGCGAATGGCTCCGCAGTCTTTATTGATGCGAGGCACACAGATCAACGCATCGTTGTCGCTATCGGCTAAACGTGTCGACAAAAGCACCCAGTCTACAGAGGTGTTGAGTTGTTTTTATTATGTTTTTTTAACGCAAGATAGGTGAGGCTCTACTTTGTTTCAAACCAAAGATTAGGGCAATTTCATTTTTTAAATATACTATGCTTTGATAGTTATATCGACACGGTAATGTACAAATATATTTCTGACCTCCACGGCAGCCCAGGTATAGTAACAACAGTTTTATTTAAGGAAAAAATACAACAAATGGACCTGCTTTAAAATTCAAACCCACAAAGGGGAGATTTACAAAGAGCATTTGAAAGCAGCAGATTTCTGAGCTTTTCTTCCCGTGTTACGTCCAGCTAGGCAAGACGTGTCTGTACTCTATACAGATGGTATAGAGAATCTCGAATATAAGAGTTAAACCTAAGAAATAATTTCTATTGATTTATTTATTTGTGCAGATTTTACCTTTTAGGGACAATAAAGCATGTGAATTCGTCTTTCTACTGACGTCATATATGCGTGGAAATAGATGTGTAATGTCCCGAGATGAATCAGTTTGTGTTCAGTCTCCAAGTCTTGTGATTAAACATCACCAAAATAAATAATGACGCTATCAGGTGCAACTTTACTTTTTATTACATTTTTTTAAAATTAAATTTCTTTGAAATTATTCTCAGTTATAAAGACTGCGGTGTTCTTCAAAACTGACGCTAAATTCTACATTTACATTGTTTTATAACATATGCGAAACAACACGTCAGCACAGACTTTAACAATACCACTACTGCACTGCCATCTCCCGGTTGAAATACTAACTGCACCTAAAGAAGTATTTGGGGCAAAAGTCACCTGTTACGATAAGCACGATTCGAATCTTTAGCGTTTTTAAACTGGTTTGTGTTGATGTTGCGAAAATACAAAAAGTACAGATATGTTTATGCGTTGAGTAAAGGCTTTGTTGATGGGTGATGCAGAGATAATGAATGCTTGCTGTCATTACAAACGTCTGTAAACATACCACCTAAAACATCTAAATCAGTTTTATATATGTAACACTAACTTTAATTTACCCCAGAAATACACAAGGTGATGCAAGTGTTAAGTTGTGACTTTGCATAGATGCAGTGGCAGTGTTGCTAAAAAAAACTAATAAAAAACTCACATTACCTCCTTTCTTAAAAATTTATTTCAGAATCAATCCAGAATTAATCCATTTTATGATTAAAATTTCAACACACAATGTGCCAAACAAGACAACAGTACATACAGGAGTGTAATAACTGACATGTGTTCACCTGGTGAGTAAATATCTTACGATAATAGTGCAATCCAAACTGTGTGCAGGCTTAGCCCATATCACTGCAAACAAGTTAGTATCAAATATTGTTTAGACATATAATCGAATCAGCAGACACGTTTTCAGTCTCTTCATGGCAATGCATTTTGAAGATACAATCAAACATTATGAAGGCATACCGTTAGTCAGTTATCAACATTCAAAAACAAAATATTTTCCCCATTCTACAAAGTGATTTCCTAAATTATAAATTATGAACTACATACAGTTCTAAGATGCCTTGTGTCCACATAAAAAGGCTATGTGTTCATAGCAGGAGAAAAAGGCATACTGGTAGCTAATGCTCTCTCACACACCAGTGATTTCATTCACTGTTTATTTGCAAAAGTTGTAATCGGCTGTTTAACCGTCAAAAACTGAACCACAAAATTTCCAAACAAGAATAATCCCTTAACATTCCCTTTTACCCCCCTTTAAAAAATGCAGCAGCTATTCTCTGAAAATTTTAAGCACAGACTGTATCGTTGTCTAGGCTGGCAGGTATGGAGCTATGTTTTAAGTAAAACTTAATGCTAAATAACTCATTTTAAAACAAAGTCATGATCTGTATCACAATAGGGAGGATAACAGTCATAACTGATATATAGTGGATTTGCTATGAATTCATTGCTAGTCTGATGGAGGAAATAATAAGTGATCCAAGAGAGCTCGGCACACTAAAAGGTGATTTATCAGAGTGAATTATGGTTTTAAGTGCACTAGCAGAGATTGGATCCAGGTCACACTAAAAGAATCCTGCACAAACCTAGATATTAAGAGTCCATCAGGGTAGCCAGAGTTAAAGGATAAAGAATGCATGGTTACTGTATTACACAGATATTCTATATCGAAATAGAGCCATCTCTAAAATTGGTCTTCCCTATTAGAACATTGATAAGTGCAGCCTTGCCCTCCCGGGCATCCCTCTGAGCTTGTCTGACGATGTCATTTAACTTTTCGTCATTTTCAGAGCCTATAAGGTAGCCCTTACCACCGTAGCCATCTGCCACGATGTGATAGTCTGCAAAAAGAAGAGAATTTACCTTTTAACATATGCCCAGACATCACTGAGTGTATTCTGCAACCAATCACAGCACAAACATGAACATTATAAATCTACCTGTATATGCAAGGCCGCATGCCACGTTGCTGCCGAGCATAGGAACCTGCTCTCTGGATATCTGACTCCAGCACGCATCATTTCCTACCAGAGCTATCACTGGTGTCTGAGGTGTGAAAAGCAGAGCATGCATTATCAAAAGACATCAGCAGAAAAATATGCACACACAAAAAAATGAATGCTTAAATAAGCTGTCGTGTCAGTGGTCCATAGCGGTCATACAGCAAGCATGAAAACATATTATGTAGTGCATCTTTCCATTGTATGACACAAGAACTGAGTCTGTGATGTTTAAGGCCTTACACACCAGTAGTTAACACTTGCATTATTTTCATTTGGTTTTGATCATTAGATCCTTCTCTAGACCACATGTGCACTGTTGCTAACTGACTACTGTTAGCTACCTTGCTTCCATCGATTACATACATGTAATCTAAATAGGATTGTGTGTGATTTTACCTTGTGTCTAGTGAATGTGTCAAACTCTGCAATACTGTATCCTAAGGAGCCATCACCATAGACTATCCACACCTGAAACAAACACAACATAGCTTTTGTTTTTAAAACGTCAACGATTTTTTAAACTGATCATCAGATGATCAGGCAAAGCTCCCCAGACATACCTCAGATTCAGGCCGGCACAGCTTTGCCCCCAAAGCAAAACCACCTCCAACTCCCAGAGTCCCAAAGGCTCCTATAGGAAAGGAATGAAGAGCTAGATTAAAACATCATGACTGCAACTAACTCAGAATATAATTATCATCCAGCCAAAACTTGTGCACTATGGATTTTTATTTTACTTATAAAGCTCTTGGATTAAACAACCAAAATATTTCATCGTTTTAATTAAACTATTTGCTTTGTCAGCAGCATCCTACCTGGATCGAGCCAACACAGAGGTCCTCTTGGTTTCATTATGTAAGCGGCACTTCCTACAAAATCTCCTCCATCTGCAACAATGACGCTGTCCTCAGCCATCAGCTCATCCACACAATGGAGGGCTTTCAAGGGATTTAAGTGGTATTCAGTCTTCTCCTCAGCTTTAGCCCTGAAATAAAAAATTAATTAATTAAAAAAAGCAACATGTTAGCTTTCGTGATGGTTACAGATAGAAGATTTTGCAATGCATATTTTAACACAACCCCACTGCTTACCTGTTTGCAGCTTCTTTGGTCGCATCCCCTGCTTTGAGGCTCTGAGGCCATTCCTCTGGACAGCGATGGCCTTTCAGCCCTTCGGAAAGTCGCACTAAAAATGATCCAGCATCACCTGAAAATACAGCATACAGTTTTGGGGTTCTTTTTGCAGTTGTTGAATTAATGTATTTATTCTTAGGTCCAACTCTAAAGAAAACAAATCAGGAGTATGCTTATATTTATATGCACCACAGGTACAATATTTTATGATTATCTAAAGATTTTTGACTCTTTCCTTCCTTTAAAGCTAGCATGAAATCAGGGGGCAAACATACCCTGAATTGCTATAGTTGGTTTCCAGAACATGTCTGAGTTTTTTAGCAGCTGTGTCTTGTCTCTGTTGACAGCGATGATCTTGCTGCGTCTGCTGAGAGTTCTGCCGTAACTCAGCCGGAAGTCACACACAGTGCCTGTAAACACGACTCACAAAAGTCAATATTTCTCCAGGGATCGTGGTGAGCCTGCAGCTATACACACTATGTAAAAAACACAGTTTAACCTCTCTCTGTATCGCAACACATACTTCCAGAATAAATTAAATCCAGAAGGAGAAAAAAGATGCAGAAGAATTACTGAAAAATTAAAAAATGCAATCAATAACACTGATCCATTGTGGAACTTTGTTAAATATTTACTCCAACATATTTTGAAACGCAGTTATCCTGCACAGTTTTCTTTAGATTGTAATATTAATATTAAATAGGTTGGTCTCAAAATGTTATTTCTCTTTTTATCATTATGGAATAAAAAGGAAACAATGTTTGCCTGACCTGCCAGGACTACCACATCAGCTTCCTTCAGAGCATCTCGTCTGTTTTGTCGGATGTGGATGGGGCTGTCTTTACCCAGCAAGCCACGACACATACCCCCGAGAAAGCAGGGGATGCCCAGATCCTCCAAAGCCTTCCTGTTTAAAATAAACAAATAAATGAAATAAATAAATAAAAACATTTTTTAAAAAGCGGGAAACCATTTTGACCAGATATAACATCCAAGTAAAATAGCAAAATATAATTTCACTGATATTTGAAGACTGAAGAAAATTTTGCTTAAGGCTCACCACAGGAATAGTTGAACACATTTTAACAAACACTTCCAGTATCAACACAAAACAACAAAAAGTGGCAGAAAAATAAAAGGACACGTGACTCATCTTTTACCTGATGTTATCCACTGGTGTTGGGGGTAGTGTTGCTTGGCTACCCAGCACAATAACAGGTTTCTTGGCTCGACTCACCAGCTCTAGGCACTTTTGGATCTGTTATGCATCAAAAAAATGTTTAAAAATGCTGTCAATCTCCAATGGCCAGAGCACTTACGCATTGACGAACATTTACTACAAGACTTACCTGATTGTCTGTGGCTTGAGGGATGTGAACAGGAAGTGGAGACATATCCCTGGGCTCCCAGGCTCCAGCAAAGAGATTCATGAGGTGGTTATGAAGGTACCTTTGAAGAAGGCAGACCACAAAAATCAAATAATTCAGAACATATGAACACACTTCTGATTAGGGAAGAATAATGAGGAAAGAAATTCCCAAATTATGATATTATAAAAGATGCAAACATTATAAATAACCCAAACAGTAGCATGCAGTGCAAAAACAACATACCATGAGACAATTTTTCCCATCAGGCCTTTGGGAGGGTTCTTAACAACAAACTCCTTAGACACCAGGTGGAAGGGGTAGAGCGTGTCAATGGGGAACTCTATGAAAACAGGACCAGGCGTTCCCGACTGAGCAATGGCCAACGCCTTCTTGACCGTAGGCACAATTTCTCTGACAGTCCTGATGGAGGTGCAGAACTTACACAAAGGCTTGAAGAGAGACATCTGGTCGATATCTTGCAGTGCTCCTCTGCCCTGTTCCGCACACACAATTGATAAACACTGAAGACTGCTTTTTTTTGCCTGTCGTTTTACTCTGCATGCACATTAATATTGTGGTGGCATTAATAATATCTGAATCCACTCCACCTGGAGTAGCGTGCCAGCAGCTCCTCCAATGAGCAGCAAAGGAGATTCAGCCATCTGAGCATTCTTCACTGCTGTCACTGTGTTAGTGAGGCCTGGGCCAGCCGTCACAGCGGCTACACCAACCGTACCTGAAGCAGAAACAAGCATAACAGCTATTAACAAGTCAGAGCTATTACTAAGGGGCACCTACATTTATCTCTACCTTGTATGGTGTACATTTTTGTTCCATTGCTGTGTAGTATTGTTGCTATAAGTTGTGTTTTACTTCTGCATTAATTTATTTGAATCCCTCTATTCGTTTTGGTGCAGTAATAATGTGAATTTCTCAACTGGGGGGTAATGGGGTGTAACAACATCTGAACAGAGACCAAAATTGTGAAAAAAAACCCCATCTTCTGATAGCCATGGGGATCTGATACTGTCCAGCTAATGCAAACTAGGACAGTAAGACCCATAATGTTGAAAGACACTTTGTTCATGATCAAATCAAAATCAAGTGAGCAGGTCAGGTTTTTAGCAGGTTTTAAATTATTATTCATGCCACCTTAATAATATCTAAACCAAGCCATTGTTTCAAGGAAGTGTTAACTCATTTTAGCCACTAAGAATGCTGTTAGATGCACCTTTGCTTGATAAATCATAATGTCTGCAGGGGGTGGAACGCCTGCTGTTAAGACAAACCCTGACAAGACTTCAACGCCCACATGTTTTGTTTAGAATAAGCTGCGCGAACACAATGTGTGCGCACATAAGAATGAGTCGTATCACTGGAGATGCATTTACACGCAATCTAAACCTGCACCTGAAAGTCTTGCCACAGCATCAGCAGCGAAGACTGCAGTGGCCTCGTGCCTAGTGTCCACGATCCGGATCCCCATCTTCTCGCAAGCCACCAGGATAGGTGAAATATGCCCACCAACAAGAGTGAAAATGTACTTGACCCCATGGGCGTGGAGGACCTCTGCCACAATGTCGCCACCGTGCTTGGAGCTCTTTGTGTCAGTCTGGAATAAGTAAAGAGGGACAGAATTAGGTTACTGCAGACAAGATCGTGGCTGTTTTAACCACATAAAGAATCGTGCAAACTAAAATAAAACCGCTGTCTAATATAAAGAGCTGACTGTGCACTGTAAGGCCACCTGTCACACTCCTTTTCATCCCACTGTCGTTTCCTATTATGCAACAACCGCATATTGTTCAGGGCTGCAGTGTTGATGTGGAGCCGCGGGGATCTGATAACCTTTGTGCTGGAAAACCACAAGGCTGGTCAAAGTTTACGTGAATAGAGTCCAGCTTACGCTTCAACACTGACTGCCTGTAGAAGACTTTTTTGTTTAAGTGGCCACAGATTATGCAATGACTGAAAACAGAGTGCATAACGAAGGATAGCACAGAAAAGCACACAAATTACGGTGTTGACTTTTTTAAAATACCTACCTTGTGGAACAATTGGTAGAGTATGCCAAGTTTGTAGGCTGCAAACAGTAGCCCACCCAGCACCAGGCTTGTAAAGGATCCGAGAACAATGCCGACGACTCCAAAGGGCTCCATGCTAGAATGCGGAAGCAAATCCCAATTTCTGAAAAGACACTACGGTAAATAGGCTAAACTTATTATATCGAAATCTACGGAGCTACCGGTTCAGCAGCTCACAGGTTCAAGCTAGGCTAATAAACTATGGAGCTTCTTCTACAACTGCTATACACCCATTTCAAAGGCGTACACGTGCAACTACATTCACTCAGAAGTAATAAAATTTAAAGTTACTCCGAGGCTCTGAAGGACATTTGGTTGTCTACAACTTGAAACGACCAGGTACCCTTACTTTACCCCTGCGCCGACACAGAAAGAAATGTGACAGTTGATGGTAAAGCCGCCTGTAAAGGATATACGGTACTTCCGTTTAGTAATTTTCAAAATATATGACTGCTGCTAAAGTTCACAGCATTTATTTATGGGGTATACACGGGGATTTTCTTTTCCAGTTGTTATTATTTTTCTGTAGCCATGAACGCAATAAAAGTTACACTTGTGTCTTCATTAGTTGCTGTGTATTTAATCGTATGCTCACATGTAAGGCAAACATTGTACCTTTATTGTCAAGGTACAGATTTATTTCCGTCTTTAGTGAATGTGAGGGCGCTGTTCAAGCCAAGGACGGTCTCTAGTTCAGGTGTGTCAAACGTGAGACAGATAAATAAACAAATGACAGAAAAAATCTTGTTTTTCTTTTTTTTAACTCTCTGCTATAGAATTCCATTTTTACAGCGGGTTCACAGTGAAAAGACAAAAAAGTATAATTTTAGCCATTTAATTATTTGTGTTGACAGATTTCTTTCATCGGCTATAATGTATCATGTCGAAAAGCTGAGACATACTGTTGAAATTGCACTTCTCGGGGATTTTAAATGTGTAGTTAAACTTCTATACAACGACAGAAAGGGGATTTTCACTGATCCAGCCCATTTAAGATCCAAGTGTGCTGCATGAGCCACAACATGAAATGAGTTTGACACTCCTGCTCTGGTCAAATCAGGGACTTTACACAGTCAAAGGTTCAAGATGTGTATAATGGGTTCAAATTGCATTATTTGTAGTGAGAGCAAGATGCATGTTAAATAATAAGTTGAGTGAAATCAGCAGATTGCATAGTAAAGGAAACAACTAGCAATGCAAGATTTTATCATTTGAATGAAAATATTTACAATAGATTTTATAGGCTAGACAGTATTAATATAATGAATCTATCAGTCTTTTAATGAAAGAGCATGGTTGTCTTTGTCTGTGTGTATGTGTTAAAGTTAGTTTGTTGTTTTACAGCATGTTCACAGCAATGTGCAGAAAGGAAGTTTGTACACATCGATAACCTTTCCGTAATCAGGATTTTCAGCAAACAGTAGTTTATCATGCACCCGTTGTTCCTCAAAGACAATAATCTGAAAGAGAGCAGAAAAATAAACATAAATCAACTAAGGTTCTTTAGTTACAAGTTACACCTATAATTCATGTTCCATCTTTTGTTATTACACAGGTACCTCATTCTCTCCACTTCTAAGCCAAGGTGCTGGGAGATAAAGGAAATGCTGGGGGCCAATAAACCAATAACGTCCAAGGTTCTGCCCATTGACAAATATAACGCCTTTACCCCAACTCTGTGGATAAATACACTATCATTATGAATAAACAGAAACTGGCTACACAGCATGTATTGTTTAAAAAAAAAACAAACAAAAAAAAAAAACCTCTAGCTTGCTTGCTGGTTAGTTAATGTTTTCCACACAAACTGTTATACTCACACGAAGGCTGACAAAGGTGTCTTTGGGAGGGCCATCGACACAGAGCCTGGCCTGGAAAAACCCGGGGACACAATGGGACTTGAAGTCAGTTTTCCATTGGCCTGAATTTGTTAATCTAAAACAAGAGCCACAAAACACATACTGTTATCAAAGTGCACATTGAATCTATACAAGGAGACTCGAGCAATTTTTGATTGAATCTTCCCTTTAACATAGACAATGAAAAGGTCCACGTACACTTGGAAACCTGCCATTCTAAACACTGTACGATTTTGGCAAGAAAGACGTTTTAATCCAGATAACAGACCTTTTTATAAAGCTGGGCTTCATATCAAAGCAGGAGATGGAAAATCCTCTCAGTGGGGTGTTGTTCAACACAATGTCTCCCACAATACCTGTAATTTGAATTATAAACTGAATATTCCTTACAGTTATGTCCTTTTTACGTTACTTTAAAT